TACTGATGGGTCGCTTTGGCACCCACCCATGGTTGGTAGTTTACTTGTTCCTAGTCCTATTAACTGGTGTGGTCGCGTTAGGTACTTGGGTCTCTATTGGGGCCCTGCGTCCCCGTTTGCGAGTTGTGTCAACGAACTTTTGGAAGCAGGGCGACGGGCTATGTTCGGTCTTAGTAATCGGTTGGATGAGAACAGGGTGTGGGCTCCTGCCGTTCGGCTTCAAGCGTTCGACACCCAGGTCCGTTCGGTTCTCTGTTATGGTGCTGAGGTCTGGGGTCCTGATAGGATTGTCTCCGTCCTGCGGTTAGGTAAAGGTGTTTTACCCGCTGGTAAGTCATATTTTGATTTGGCTTTGGAAGATGGTATGGTCCAGGTCCAGCGTGACTTCTGTTTACGTTGTGCTGGGCTCAAGCAGGTACCTTACAAGCTGTTGTACAGGGAGCTGTCTCAGTTGCCTTTGCAGTACTTTTGGTTACGCCTTGCGTTGTGTTTCTGGAATAAGATAGTCAAGTCCCGTGGGTCGGTCTATCATGACGTGTTAGTAGATGATCTCCGTCTGGCTCTTCTGTCTGATCTCAAAGTGGATTGCTGGTCGTCTAAAGTGCTCATCATTTTGCGTTGGTTGGGCCATGAGTGGCCGGCGTGTGACTCCGTTTCTCAGAAGGTAGATGTATACTCGTCTCAGTTGATTCGAGTGGGTGAGGTTCTGGAGAGGTTATCTGCGTCCCTTTTAAGTGACTGGGATCAGTTCAGCCAAGGGGGCGATCCGCGTGTGTTTCAAGGTAAAGGGGTTTCGCTTTGCAGGTATCATAACTGGATGGGCTCCCCTTCACCAGCAAGAGAGGGCTCCGATCCCACAGGCTATTTGCGTGTTTATTTGCCGGTTAACCAGTTGCGTATGGTTGCCAAATTCCGTCTTTGTTGTTGGCCTTTGGAGGTCAACAAAGGACACCATAGGCCGAGAGAGTGCCGTACGTGTCAGGTCTGTACGTCGGGTAAGGTTGAGGATGAATATCATGTGCTCATGGAGTGTGAGGCGTATACTGAGTTGCGTAATAGGTTTCTGATTAACGTTGAAGATACTGATATGCGCAAGGTATTTCTTAATACCAATCCGAGGAAAATCGCTACTTTCCTTACTGAGGTTTTTGATGAGCGTCAACAGCGTGCTCTGGAGCCTCACGGCTCGTGAGGGCACCCGCCGCGTCGGCGGCGGAAATACTGTAACCACAATGACAATGACAATGACAATTATCATGCAAATTGACTTTAGTAAGGCGTTCGACTCCGTTGACCATGAGACACTTTGGGATTTCCTAATGTCGTATGGGCTTCACGGGCGCATCCTCGATTCTTTAAAGGCTAGCTATGCTGACGTGAAGTTTCGGGTCAAGTTAGGAAATAAGTTGGGACCTGAATTCAAGGTGGGGCGTGGTGTTAAGCAAGGGTGTCCCCTTAGCGTAACCCTTTTTGGGCTCTTCATAGAAGTATTCGCTCATTATATTGATGCCCATGATGCTAATTGCCGTGTATGCCTCCCCAGCCGATGGAGCACCCTTCGTGAGCAGAGTGTTAGCCTGGCGGGCGGTGATCTCACTAACCTACTTTTCGTTGACGATGTGTCACTAGTAGCGACAGGGCACGATAGAGCTGAATGCCTTCTGGGGCTACTCGAAGCCTACTGCAAAGCGACGGGTATGGCCGCGAATGCCGCCAAGTGCGAGGTCCTCATTTTTGGGGGTGCTACGCGTGAGCGGAAGCGGCTTGTTGAAGCTGAGTACCGGTTAGGTGGGGTGGGGTTGCGGGTCCTGACCGGCAACGAGACGGCACGGTATCTCGGGTTGCACTATGGCCCAGGAGTGCAGTTCTCAGCTTGTACCAAGCAACTACTCACAGCAGGGAGGCGGGCCACATTTGGGCTCAGCACCCTGTGTCATGATAAGAAAATTACCACCCCCAAGCTATGTATGTCTCTCTACAATACACTAGTTGTACCGGTGTTTTCTTATGGAGCGCAAGTTTGGGGACCTGACTTCATTAATGTGAATTTTGAAGGTGCTATGGCTAATCCCATGGTCCAGGAACAACGTGCTTACATGCGAACCGTAGTTGGGGCGAGGAGCCCGACTATGGTTTCCCTATATCGCGAGCTGTCACAGAGGCCACTCCAGTTCCATTGGACCAATCTTGTACTTAGGTTTTGGAACTCTGTGGTTAAGAGGCCGGGAACGTTGTGTCACCGGGCATTTGTCGCTGACCTGGAGTTGGCACTTGGGGGCGCCACTGAGTGTTGGGCAAGCAAGGTACTAGCCTTTCTTACTAGCTTAGGAGTGGAGCCCCCCACTAATACGCGCGGTAATGATCTTATATCGTACTACACCACCCTTAAATTGCCAGTCGAGAGCATTCTTAAGGTTTTTGCCAAGCGGCTTGATGCTCGGTGGGAGTGCCCGAATACCTTGGGTGACCCCCGCGTCTTCCCCATAGGAATTACCGGAGCCAAGGCGTGTCGCTATATGAACTGGATGGGAGCTGCCCCGTCAAGGGGTGCGCGTCTTGATTGGCTGGAGCACACTAAAGGGACCATGCCCCAGCGACTTCATCATGTGCTCATGCGTTTTCGGTTAGGCTGTTGGGAGTTAGAGGTTAATAGACCTAATGGGCGTGAGCGCACCGCGCGTACCTGCAGGCTTTGTGACTGTGGAGCGGTTGAAGATGAGTTGCATGTTTTCGAAGAATGTCCCGCTTACAAGAGTATACGGGCTAAGTATGATGGTGACCTAGTCCTTACGGGGCGCAGCATGCGCACCACTATGACTGAGGCGCCACCCCTGGAATTGGCCAGGTACCTCTCGGAAATCTGGGAGGCCAGGCACGTCGCGCTGAGGCGCTTCGCCCTGAAGCGGACGAGGGAGAATGAAGATGACCTCCCGCATACCCGCATCAATACCAATACAACGTCCATGGCCCCCCCGGCATTTACGGACACACCCACACTTGTGTGCGGAACTTGTAACTTGTAACTTGCTACGCCTCGTCTGATGAAACTTCATCTGTGTCATCATCTTTTGCCCACACGCAACCAGACTCCCATTGCTCCCATTCCTCGATGGCCATAAGCTTGTTCAATAGTGCCCGTGCTTCTGATGGGCGCAAGCTTCACTTTTCACTCTCTTGAGACTGCTGCCTGACTTCTTCAGCAATATCCTCCAACACGAGTGGCAAAAGGCCATGGGGTGGGCCGCCAATTGGTGCACTCTGGGAACCTGGAGCCTTCATTCTATATGCGATTCACATTCATTTCATACCTTCATGAAGGACCCTTCATACCTTCATGAAGGACCCTTCATACCTTCATGAAGGACCCTTCATTCCACACCAAATCGAGGGCACCAAGTCAATTTAGAATGAAGACTCCCTCATTACAGAATGAAGGGAGCTCAAAATGAACGCCCCCTACGGTTTCAATGCCCCATCACTCCAAAATGAAGTAGTCTCCATAAAACGAGCCCATGTCCATCATGTGATATGAAGGCTCCTTCATTCCAAAATGAAGCAGTCTCCATAAAAAGAACCGCGTACATCACGTGATCTGAAGGTCCCTTTCAGCCCAAAACTAAGCTTTTTCATAATGTCCATCGCGCCATATGGACGCACCTCCAATCCAAACTAGGAAGGCGTGTTCTTATCACATGATGAACAGTGTCTTGTGGTGCTGCCACACAGTCACTTATCTCTTTGTTTACTACGCCATGCTCTCCCTGTGCTGTGTGCCCTCAGCAGACACCTTGTAATGTACCACGAAACAGCACCAAGCCTTGTATCCATCTTGATGCCAACTTGGTGGATCACACAGAATCAGTCAGCATGGCTGAAGCAGGTCCTTCCTCTGCAGTACCAGTGGCAGTGCTCTCCATGACCTTGAGCAACTGGGACTGCCACGTGACATCCCGGAGTTCTTTACAGGTAGGTGCTCGTTTTCTGCAGACCCAGCTGGGTGAAGCCATTGCTGTACGCACCAACACTCCTGATGAGGTTCTGTGTTTATATGTGCCGTGTATTTGCTTGCTCCACGCAACCAACCATGCTTCATTGCAGCTTATGGGCGCTACATCCAAGTTCGCAACATGCCAAGGCACACGACTGGAAGCCTCGCCTTTCTGGATGACCTAACAGCAAGGTAGGATGAAGGCACGAGTGATGGACAGTCGGATCACTGCTTCGAACAATGTACATGTTATATGTGTCACTCGTGAAGGCTAGTACAAATATGAACACGTTTTCATAATACTGCTGTGTTTGCTTGCAGACTGCAGACAGATATGGTACAGCTGTTTGGTCGATACAAGAACTGGGAAAACATCCCCAAATTCTTCAACATGCGAAAATACATGTGGAGCATCAGGCAATGGGGCATGACTGACTTGACAACGACGGGCCCCAAGGAGAGCTTTGTGAAGATTGTGTGTAAAGCATGGGAATTTACAAACAAGCATCCTGACACCGTAGATAAGCAGGCAAGTGTGTACTAATCAACATCAAGGGTGTATTTGCCATCCATATGCAACGCCTAAGATGACTTGTGAGTGACTG